CACCCTGGGGACCCAGCTTTCCCCAGCTCCCAGCTGCTGACAGCCCCATCTTGACTCATCCGGGGTCGCTGAGGCCACACCAAGAAGCATTGGGCAGCTGGGAGGAGCACCTGCTGTTTCTGCATCTTTTTTCTGGAGCTCACTTGGGTGGGAGGGGCTACAGACTCCAGGGACCCTGCAGACCACACCCTCCACTCCCTGGCTGAGTGAGCTTTCTTCTCAGGAGTCTGACTGGACGTTGGGACCCTCCTGTCACAGAGGAAGGTCTGAGTAGTCCAGTCCCGTTCCTACTCTCCAGCATGGCCCCTCCTGTTCATTTGTGCAGCTTCCTTTGCCCAAAGCACAGGTGAAGTCTGTGTGGACTGTGTCCCTTGTCCCCAAAGGGAGTGTGGCTCCAGTCCTGGCCTGGAACTTGGGTGCCTTAGAATTGGAGGCCACATGTGGCTGGGTGGGGCAGCGTGGTCTGCCCACGGCCAGGGTAGGTATCACATTGGCAGCCCCAGACCTGACACCACCGCTCCCGTGTCCCCTTTCCATTTCCATCCAGTGCATCACCTATACCACATGCTGCCCCAATGAATCTGGGCTGTCAGCTTCCCCAGCTCAGCTGGGAAGTCCCACTGACCCTAAGGAGAACAATGCCTCCTGATTGGGGGCTATGTGGGAATGGGCCTGGTGTGGGGTGGGTTAGGTCGGAGTGTGGCAGGTGTCCGACACCCCTCTGCTTATCTTCCCTTCTCCTTTGCCCACAAAGGAGGCATCTTCTCCATGTCCCTCTGCCACCCTGAAGACATAAAATACTCCCCAGGTCTGTCTTCCCTTGGACACGGCCCACCTATCCTCCTGTGGAACTCAGGGCTTTGTTTTGTCCTGTGGCCCACATGAGAAGCAAATATCCCTAATCTGCTCAGCTGAGAGAGGCAAACTGAGGCAAAGCAGGGGAACAACTCTGTTGTAGTCTGTATGTTAATGGCAGAGTCAGGAACAGCCCTTACCTGAGTGGTCAGGTCCAGTGGACGCCAAGCGTGGAGGCCTGTCCCCTACCCCTTGGGCTACCCTAAGGCACAGCTCAAACCTTCCTTGCCACTGAGAAGCTTTTGCTGAAGAGTCTCACCCTCACCCGCAGGCCTCCTCATTTCAGAGCTTTTAGTAGGGTGAGTATGAGGATTGACTCACTGCTACCAGCTGGCAGGAATTGTCCCTAGGGTTGGGTCTCTGGATGGCATATGAGGATCTAGACAAGGACCCAGATGCCTGTAACCTGAAGGGCAAGGGCCTCAACTGTCCAGGCTTCACACTGCGAACTCTGGTTTCCCTGGCTTACCTACTTTGAGTCCAAAGGAAATAATGCCGACATCCACCATGAGACAGAGTGACAGACTGACTGTCATAGGGTTGCCTGGCTCAGAGTCACCATAGCCAGGCAGAGCTCAGGTCCTGGCCCTGTTCAAGGCTTTCCCAAAGCCCTTCTAGCTCTGGTACCTGGGTTCTTCCTCACCCAGCTGTAGCTTCCCCCCCACCGTTTCCACCAGGTGACAGAGAACCTGGCAGTCTGTGACTCATAGAAGGCTTCACTTTCCTTCTGGTAAGGGATGAGAACCAGCTTAGGGTGAGAGGGAAGAGGGGTCTGGGGGCCCTCCCACCCCTGCCTCTAGCATTTGAAGGATGGTGACTGAGCAGCAGCATGGTTTAGGCTAGACAATGTGGTCCCTAGGTTTATAGCCTGGCCTCAGACTGTTGCCATGTCACCTTCTCTTCTGCACGTGCTGACCTGGCATCCCACCTAGTTAAAGGTCCTGAGGCCTCCTGCCCCTGGGCATTTCCCTCACTCCCTGCCAGGCACAGCTGTCCTTGACCTGGACTCATCTTCAGAGGTTCTTGTCCAGCACACAGCTTTGCTGGATGTTGCAGGCTGGGCTGGGCCCGCTGCATGCACTGACATCTCTTTATGAGTCTCAACTAGACTGAGCTGCAACTTCAGGGTAAGGACAGGCTCTGACTTAATTGATGTGACCCAGGACCCGGGGGTACATCTGCTTGAGATCTTGGCCTGTATGATCTCTGGGGCACGATGCCCCTCTGTCCCATGCTTAGGTGCCCACATGTGGCCACAAGTGCCTTTCCTTCCACCATCCCTCCTTTAGGCTGCTGTACAGGCACCTGTGGCTCCAGTCACAAGACTGAGTGCAGAGCCAGGCCTGGGCGGATATTCCGCAGGTGCTGCAGGAGCTGACAGCCTTGGCCACACAGCCCATTTCCATCCGTTCCCCTTCATTGTGGCTGCTCCCAGTCCACCAACTTTCCAGGGCCAGGCCTGGAACCAAACAGACTTCTGTCTGCCCCTGGTTTCCCTCATGCCTGCCAGGTTCTTGGCTGAGCATGATGGTTTTGCCCATTTCCTTGTTTATCCACAATAAGGTTTATAGAGACGCTTGGGAACATCACATCTGTCTGCCAGGTCCTCACCAGAGACAGGACTGCCTTGGGCCTGTTGGGATCAGAATTCAGTGGCTTCAATCTAGGCAATGGGCTGATGGGCAGCTGTCACTTCTCCTCTGCTTGGGGAAGGCAGGAAAGGAAGGTCAGGCAGGAGATCTGCTTGGCGCCCCCCTGTGCCTGTCTCACCTGGCTGCAGGTGCATTGGAGGCTGAACCCCTTTCCTGATCTCCTGCAGGTGTGGATTTCAGGTTTCCAATGGGTGTCAGGGTGAGCTCCAGTGCCCTCCTGGCCCTAGGGAACCCTGGGCTCCATGAGGCCTGGACCTAGGCAGGATTGTTTCCCACGCTGTCGTCTCCCCATAGGGTCACCTCTTTAAACATAGGGTGGCATGCTTTGGTACATTTCAAGGTTGAAAAGCAAAAGCCGGCACCCCCTCTCTCCCGGAGTGGGTGGCCCCTCCCCTCTCAGAGTGGGCGGGGACAGGAGTTTCAGGGCAGCTTTCCTTGGGATGCCACAGGTCCCTCCGGAGCTGCTGCTGCCTGGCCACGCCTCCTTTCCCTTTCATCTTTTTCATTGACCAATGGGATTGGAGCACGAAGGCCACGCCCCATTCTACATTCTGGTGTGGCCCTGGTTACCGCGTCCCCTGGCTCAGTCAACACAGCTGCCTGGTAGGAGAGTGGAGCTGCTTACCAGTGCTCCCTTGAATTGTGCTGATGTGGCCCCAACCCCATCTCCATCCCCAACTGCTCCTCCCTCCCCCATCCACCATGGCGATGTCAGAAGAAATTCTCAAGATGAAATTAGCCTCGGCTAGGAAAAAGGTAACATGCACAGATTCCCTCTGACAGCAAGACCGCTGTCAGAGTCCATAACACTTCTGAGACACAACAGACTGGGTGCGTCCTGAGCCCCAGTGGCTCTGGGCTCCCCCTACCAACGTCTTGTTAGCCAGCCCCACCCCTTCAGCAAGGGGCCCAGCCCCTGCCCTTGCCAATCACCCCAGGGTGAGTTTGGATGTGCAACCACTGAGGCTCCCTGCTCCCTATTTGGGCCTCACCTTTTCCTGCCCCAAACCTGACCTCCCTGGGCTCTGTGGGCTCATGTCTCTAAGGACCTGGGTCTCCCCGTCCCCATTCTCCCAGTCATTTCTGGGTGAATTTTGGCTGGTGACTCCTCGGAATCCCTGCTGCAGACTCTGCCCTCCCCTCCTGCTCCCCCATTGCGACCTCCCTGTGCTCTTTGGGCTGGCATCTCCGAGGACCTGGGTCCCAGCCCTGCATCCCCCTCCCCCATCATGGAGCAGTGACTCAGGCATCTCCTTGATGTGGTCCCCTCCCCCAGGGGGAGAGGAATGTAGTGATGTCGCGGCCTCCCTAGGAACCGTCATTACTGCTACAAGACCAGCCTTGGATCTTAGGACCCAGTCCCCTAATCATTCTCTTCCCATTTCTGGCTTATCTGGTCCCAGCACTAATTTCCAGCTGGAAGGGGAATGGGGGACCTAGGGTCAAGAGGTTTCAGGCTGCCTCACTCCTTTAACATAGACATTGACAGTGTGAAAAGCCTACACTTCCCCCATGAGCTCAAAACATTGACAGTGTCTCTGGGTGGCAATGGGAGAATGGGTTTGTTTTGGTTTTCTCTGAGGCTTCTGCTCTATAGAGAGACTTTCACGTTTCTTTCTGAGTTCTCCACCTCATCTTCAAATTCTCCATGGTTCTGGGACCAGACTGCCCTTCAGTCAGTGGCCTCCGGAGTGAGACCTGCTCATCTTCCGTGGAACAGATCTTGGGAAATTGAAACTAACAGCTTGAATCTTCCTCATATCATCTTCAACTTAGGCTACTTTGAATGCCAAGGGATAAACATGGGACATGTTTCAAAAGCATCAGTTTCCCTTGAGTATCTTGAGACAGCAACAACATTAATGTACTTAGGGATGACAGTCACATCGGATTTTAAGAGTATACCAGACTTGTCTCTGAAATGAGACTTGGGTTGTCCTCTTTCTGATGAATTCCCAGATTTAACGAAAGTCTGCCTTCTGCCGTGAGGACACATTGATGTAAAAGTGTGAGAGTGCTGGTGCTCTTCTTAACACTAACAGACGTGTGAGGTTGTATGACTCTAAACCACACAGCGTACAGTTCCTGTCTACTTCCTGTTGACTTTTCTACCTCTGCCTGTGGTTCTGGTCTCTGGCAGATGCTGATTCATGGCAAAATCCCAGAGCTTGAAGTCAGTGAACTGAGTTTAAGGTCTAGTAATGCTTTTTCTTTCTCTTTTCTTTTTTTTTAAAATTTTTTAAAATTTTGCCATGATATCAATACCTCTCAGTCACTAAGTGATTGTGACCACACCTTATAGAGTTGTTGGTGGCTTTAAATCAGATGGTGTGTAACTGTATTTTGTGAAAACTGTAATGTAGGTGACTGTAGGGGTTTGTAGTTCTCATGAGTATTACTGCTCTTTTTTCCCACAGTTAACAGAATTTCAACAAAGAAACAGCCCTGCTGTTCCAACACGAGTGAGACGGAGAAAGAAAAGAAACAATAGCCCTGAGACAGGCACTTCTGATGGTTGCCAGTCACCATGCCATGTGAGTCTTGGCCTGCCAGGCTTCTGGGGAAAAGGGGCCCAAGGGGCAGTAGATGGGAATTGTTAAGATTGTGGAAGAACTCCTGGGTACTGGTCAGGAATTCTGGGTTTGAATCCTGCCTCCAACTGCTATGAATATGACTTAGGGCAAGTTGTTGGAGCTTTTTGGGCCTCTCCTTTCACATCTGCAAAATAGAGGTGGTATTGTCTGACTTCCATTTGTGAAGGTGAAATGAGATTCTTTATTGCTGTTGTTTTTTTTGTTAATCCCTAGTACATGGCCTGCTGTAAACACCCAGGACACCCAGGAAAGGGTCCTTGCTGTTTGGTTTTCCTCATCCCCAGTCTCAAGGGGAAGACAGCCCAATGAGAACAGCCTTTTGCTGTCAGGCTGTCCCTTTAAGAGTCACTGAAAGGGCCCCAGGGTGGGATGGTGGGAGATAAGCACCGTGAGAGGTGCTGGCACAGAGGAGTTATGGGACAAAGGGTCTGAGAGTCAGAACAGGAAGTGCTGCCAGCTGATGGGGAGGAAAGGAAGTCAGAGGCTTGGACATTGATGGGACAGAACATCTCCATGTGCACTCTCATCTTTTGTAGTCAGCAGCAGGTGGTCCCAAGGAGGGCCCTGCGCCGTGTGCCACCATGAAAGATCCAGAGGTAAGAGGCCCTCAGCTGAGGTACAGTGACCCCCCAGGCCAGCCCTAAACCCTCCTCCCTCAGTGGCGGCTGGGTGCCCCTCTGCCAGCTGAGACAGCCCCCACACACCGAAACCCTAATGATTGATCTCTCTACCTCTCCCCCGATCCTCCCCAACTCATCCTCTCTGCATGTGCCTCAGAGCACATACCAACTACAAATAGCCCTGGACTCGAGCTCCGTCACAACCAGTGAACTGAATAACACCATTGACTTATTGGTAAGAGTCCAGTGGAGTCCCCTGATTCCATGCTGCCAATCCTGGGCTCCAGCTTCCCCTTGGGGCTGCTGTGGGTGAGTTGAAGGGCGCTATGGAGAGTGAGCACTGGATGCAGAGCTCATAGGCCAAATGCCCGCCCTGCCCTTACCTGGCTGTGGCCTTGGCCAAGTCCTAGGTGGGAAACTGGGTACTTGTACTGTGACAGTACAGAAGAGTAGCTTTAGTATGTTACCATTTGTGTAGAGAGGAAACGTGTGTCTGTGTGTGTTTGTGTGTGTGTGTGTGTACTATGATAGTATACATAAAACATGTCTGCAAGGATTTGTAAAACACTCAGGAGAGAGCACAGGTGGCTGGGAGATACCTCCCTTCTGTACTTTCTGAGTTTTGGACTATGTGAATATATCATCCTTTCAAAAAGTGAGCAGAAGACTAATTTTTCCCTTCCTGTCTGTGCCCTCACCCCCAGCAGAAAAAAAAAAATGGACTTAGAGGATCAGATGGACCTGGGTGTTCAAATCCCAGCTCTGTCTAAGTGATCTTAGGCAACCATTTAACCTCTAATACTCCATGTTTTCCAACTACCCAATAGAGGTAATGGTAGCAACTGCTTCACATGGTGGATTTGAGGTTAAATGGGATTGTTACCACACTGCCTGGTGACACACTCAATAAAGGTTCCAAAAGTGTAGTAACAACAGGAATAACAATAGAATATGATCTGATCTCTCTGGGCCTCTGTTAGCCAGCTGTAAATTTGATCTCTTTGCCTGTCCCTTCCAACTTTACTGAGTTCTTTTAAAATCCAGACCATGGGCCTTGATCTTTACTGACCAAGTTGTGTAGGAAGCCCAGCCCTAGCCCTTTTAAGGGGCACTGTGTGGAATGGCCCCGGCTCTCCAGATTGAAGCTTCTCCTTCTCCACCCTCCAGCCCTCGAGCCGCTGTGGGGCAGTCCTTGAGCAGCAGTTACAGCCATTTCTACAGGAGCGGGAACTGCTAAAAGCACAGGTGGCAGAGGTGAGACTTTGCAGAGGGAGGGATGTGGAAGGAAGATGACCCCATGAGGCCAGGAGCAGTTGAGGACCAGTGACAGCCCTTCTTAACTTCTGGTTCCATTCTTGCAGGTGATGGGGTGTCTTAAGAAAGCTCAACTAGAAAGAGATGCATAAGCTCAACAACTCAAAACAGAGAGGGCGTGGTGGCAGCAGCAATTGCTGAAAATGGCAGGAGAAGTGAGAACTGACCCTTCAGCCACTACCTTAGATGGCTCACCAGATCTTCCTGGACATCTGTGAAAAGAATAGTCCAGCCAGGGGTGGTGACGGGACTGGGCTTTGTGGAGCTGGGGGCGGAGAGGGAGATGGTAGCCTATCCAGCCACCAGCCCCTCTCTCCAGGGCCCTTTCCCCCTGTGCCTTGGGCAGATGGAAATATTCAAAATGGAGAAAAGACAGGACGCAATTAAAATCGAGGAGCTCAAAGGGAGCCTTGCCCACCTACAAAGCCATCTGGGTAAATTGGGTCTGACCTGACCAGGGATCAGTACTGGAATCAGATGGCTGTGGGGGTGGCTTAGAGTGCCCCAGGGAGGTGGGTGGCTGGAAGGGCTTTGAGGCAGAGGGAAAGAGGTCTGTGCAAGGGAACGACAAGCCTTGTAATCTCCATGAGCCTCAGTGTCCCCATCAGAAAGAGGGAGGGGTGCCTGTTGTCAGCCACCCATAGTGTTCTCTATGTGAAAGTGGCTTGGAAGACTGGCTACCATTTGGGTGCGAGGAATCATTAGCGGTGAGGCCAGGTTTGGGGAGCCTGAGAGGAGCTGTGCACTCGGAAGAGATTTTTTGTTTTTTGTTTTGAGAATCCAGAGGCCCTCATTGTCTGCTTCCTTTCTCAGCTGAATCCCCAATCCTGAAGCCCCCAGCAGGGCACTCTGACTTGGAGAAAAACCTAAAAATTGAAAGCAAGTACCTGAGAGACCAGCTGCAGGAACAGCAGAGACTGCAGGAGGTGAAAATTCTGCTCCAGGAGCAGGAGGTGAGGCTGAGAGAACAGGAGGAGAGGCTTCTTGAGCAGGAGGG